ACCTGAGACCTTCCTGTAAATGCTGCATTGCAACAGACACAATATATATATACATATATATATATATATATATATATATATATATATATATATATATATATATATATATATATATATATATATATATATATATATATATATATATTAGTATATTTTGGTAGCAGTCTTTCCGGTAGACATATATTATTAAATATGACCGAAAAAGTAAGATTAATAATTCTAACACGAATTTTCTCAATTTTTCGTACATTTCTTTTCACTGTTGGAGGTAATTCAAAAATCAATTCTCCAAAATTCATTTTTATTTCTAGTCTGACGCGACACTTAAGCGCGTTTCGTAAAACTTATTACATTTTCAAAGACTTTACACATACACAACTGAATGGAACTTACATTTAAAACATTACAAGTTTTACGAAACGCGCTTAAGTGTCGCGTCAGACTAGAAATAAAAATGAATTTTGGAGAATTGATTTTTGAATTACCTCCAACAGTGAAAAGAAATGTACGAAAGATTGAGAAAATTCGTGTTAGAATTATTAATCTTACTTTTTCGGTCATATTTAATAATATATATATATATATATATATAGTAGCCAGAACTCACTTCTCAGCCTACTATGCAAGGCCCGATTTGCCTAATAAGCCTAGTTTTCGTGAATTAATGTTTTTTCGACTACCTAACCTACCTAACCTAACCTAACCTAACGTTTTCGGCTACCTAACCTAACCTAACCTATAAAGATAGGTTAGATTAGGTTAGGTAGGGTTGGTTAGGTTCGGTCATATATCTACGTTAATTTTAACTCCAATAAAAAAAAATTGACCTCATACATAATGAAATGGGTAGCTTTATCATTTCATAAGAAAAAAATTAGAGAAAATATATTAATTCAGTAAAACTAACCTATAAAGATAGGTTAGATTAGGTAAACAGTAATTCAGTAAAATATATGTATATATATATATATATATATATATATATATATATATATATATATATATATATATATATATATATATATATATATATATATATATATATATATATATTAGTATATTTTGGTAGCAGTCTTTCCTGTAGACATATTTTATTAAATATGACCGAAAAAGTAAGATTAATAATTCTAACACGAATTTTCTCAATCTTTCGTACATTATGCTTCACTGTTGGAGGTAAATCAAAAATCACTTCTCCAAAATTCATTTTTATTTCTAGTCTGACGCGACACGGGCGCGTTTCGTAAATACGTCGACCGTGCTCTCAGCCACAGCTCAGAATGGAAGCAAGTCGACGAAGAACTCTGTAGGGTAAGGCAGGTTCTAGTCAATAACGGCTTCTCCAATGGTTTCATCGAAGACATCATAAGAAGGAAAGTGAAAAGCCATGCAACCTCCGAAGAGACAACTAACACAACACCTATACCCCCTATTAGACTATTTTACAGGAACTTCTTTTCCACAGCTCATAAAACAGAGGAAAGGGTCCTGAAAGATATTGTTAATAGAAACGTTATCCCTACAGACAAAAATCAGAGGATACAACTGACGATTTACTATAAAACCAGAAAAACGGCCAGCCTACTCATGAGAAACTCTCCAGACACGAAACAGAACGCTTTAAAAGAGACTAACGTCGTCTATGCCTTCAAATGCCCACTTGGGGACTGTAAGCTCCAAAAAACCCAGTATATAGGCAAGACAACAACATCTCTTTCTAGGCGTTTAACGATGCATAAACAACAGGGCTCCATTAAGGAACATATAATCTCTTCCCATAACCAAACCATCGCCAGAGAAATCCTAGTAAACAACACAAAAATCATCGATAGATACAGCGATAGCAGGCGGCTCGACGTTTGCGAGGCACTACACATCAAGAAGTCAACACCAGCAATCAACAGCCAATTATTGCACAACTATATTCTACCCACCTCAAGACTCCGCTCCAATATAGAAGCATCAAGAAATATGGACCAATAGGCTTTCTACAAACACTTCTATTCAATATCCATTGTTTCGTGTTCTGTCTTGTGTTGATACTTTTAATACCCTATTAATATCCTCTAATGCCACATCATCCTTCCCACCTTACTCAAATGTAATGCCACATCACCCTTCCCACCTCACTCAAATGTAGATATAAAATCAGGGAAACGCAAGTTCTAATCAGTTGTGTATTTGTGAAGTCTTTGAAAATGTAATAAGTTTTACGAAACGCGCCCGTGTCGCGTCAGACTAGAAATAAAAATGAATTTTGGAGAAGTGATTTTTGATTTACCTCTAACAGTGAAGCATAATGTACGAAAGATTGAGAAAATTCGTGTTAGAATTATTAATCTTACTTTTCGGTCATATTTAATAAAATATATATATATATATATATATATATATATATATATATATATATATATATATATATATATATATATATATATATATATATATATATATATATATATATATATATATATATATATATATATATGAAAATGAAAACTCACACCCCAGAAGTGACTCGAACCCATACTCCCAGAAGCAACTGGTAACTACAGGGCGCCTTAATCCGCTTGACCATCACGGCCGTCAAAAGGAAGTGATAGCCGAGGCTATTTGAGCCACTTCCCCGACGGCAACTCGGATGGTAATCTTGGGCATAGCATTTCACCAAATCACCTCATTCTTTGGGGCACACGTGAGGAACACAAATGCGAACAAGCCTGAATGGTCCCCAGGACTATATGCGAATGAAAACTCACACCCCAGAAGTGACTCGAACCCATACTCCCAGAAGCAACGCAACTGGTAACTACAGGGCGCCTTAATCCGCTTGACCATCACGGCCGTCAAAAGGAAGTGATAGCCGAGGCTATTTGAGCCACTTCCCCGACGGCAACTCGGATGGTAATCTTGGGCCCAGAAGCAACAGTGTATCGAGACATAAAAAATCAGAGCTTCAGTCACCAAGAAAATAGAAAGAAACACTATAGGCATAATAAGAGCCATCACCAGTGAGGACTCAGTTTTTTCAGAACCCCTGGAAGAATGGCAAGCAATTGGTGTGGGACTACAAGTGCGTATCAACCCTGGCTAACACCTACCTTGACTTGAGTGTTGCACAACCAGGGGGCGCTGCCACTCACAGGAGAATCAGCCAAATCCCATAAGTACAGAGAGCTGGATCACCACTACAATTTTGTCCCCATTGCTTCTGAGACACTCAGCGCCTATGGTAAGAGTGCCACCAGTTTTTTGAAGGAACTGGGATCTAGGCTAATTGAAACAACAAGAGGAGCTAGAGCTGCCAGCTTCCTTTTCCAGCGTCCCAGTGTGGCGATAGAGAGGGGAAATGCACACTGTCTTCAGGGTTCCAACCCGCCATCTGAGGAGCTGGAGGAACTCGACAACTTATGATAATCATCTTTGTACCCTATGTGTAACTTCTTTCTTGTAACAAAGTTTAAATATAACAAACATATATGTGTATATATAAAAGAATGGGGGTGGTAGAAGAAAATATTATAGTGTTCAGTGAGAATCCCCAAGGTCTTCTCTGAATACTCCTTATTTTCTTCTCCGAGGCTATGGGTCCATCACATTTGCACCAGAGGTGCAAATGTGAGGGACCCTCTCAATTTAACTTTATGGTACCCTCACAATTTAAATACACACACACACACTCACACACACCCATACACACACACACACACACACACACACACACACACACACACACACACACACACACACACACACACACACACACACACACACACACACACATACACACACATACGCACACACACACACACATACACACACATACACATACACACACACACACACACACACACATATATATATATATATATATATATATATATATATATATATATATATATATATATATATATAGGGGGGTACCACCACTGGTGTAATTATAGGGACCCACAGCCTCAGAGAAGGGAACACAGAGCACTCAGGGAAAAACTTGACATTTAACTCTGAATACGAAAGAGTGTTCACTTCTCCTACCACCCCCTTTTTTTTTATTATGATGTACACTTTATTATGCAAGGTTATACAGTTACATATCTGATTTTATACAAAAAATGAACATTAAGAGGACACAAGAAAAAGTTCGCTTCCTAGAGGCTGTAGATTTCCTCGAACTCCTCCGACGCCGGGCAGGAACCGAGGATGCAGCGGGCATTTCCCCTCTGGATCGCGACACTGAGGCGCTGAAAGAGAAAACTTGCTGCTCTAGGGTCTCTTGTGGTGTCAATGAGCTTGGAACCAAGATCCTTAAGAAACCTTCTTGCACTCTCACCCCATGGGCCTAGGGTCTCAGACCCTATTGGAACGAAATTGTACCTTTGATCTAATTGCCTGTACTTGACTGACTTTTGTTTTCTCTGTGTGTCGCTGCGGCTCCTGCCGTGCCGGCAGAGAGGGTGATGTATGTCGTTGCCAGGGTGGATACGCAAGTATAGTCCCATGCTAACTGCCTGCCACCCTTCCACGGACGCAGTGTGATTCCGTCTGGTCGGCCGGCAAAGCTAACAGAGTCACGGTTCAGTAGGTTGCGGGGCTCTCTCTCCGCTGGACACTGAGCAGAGGCAAGGCTTCTTTTAATGATGTCGTTGACTTCGTCGTGTCTAGTGTGCCAACCACCCGATTTTCCACAGTGCAGGCCATGCAATCCATATTCGTCAGCATCTGCCTCGCCGCAAATACACCTGAGAACAGTGTGGATAGGGGCAGCAAGGCGGAGAGCGACTGCAATACGGAGCTCCTGCGGATCAAGACGTGTGCCTGTCGCAGACATAGGGACTGCCAGAAGGAAGTCCCCTGCATGGGGAGCCTGCACAGCTGTGAGGCGTGCACGATCACTGGGGGTTGTTGCTGCCTCCAGCAAAGCTGTGGCTTCTTTGTCTGCAATGGGATATATATATATATATATATATATATATATATGTAACGATTGTTCTTATTAACAGATGTGGAGACGCACGAGGGAAACAAAAGCACTTTCGGTACTGCATGTAGCTAAACGAACAGGCCCCAGCCACAAATGGGAGCCCATCTACGTGGGCACCAACGCCGAGCCCTGGTACGACGAGCGGCTCTCCTGGGAGGGCAAGAGCGACAAAATGACCCAGGTAGGTCATCTCAGGGGAGCCACGCGCGCCACTCCACACACAAGATTACAGAACAAGAAACGGAAGATATGTAAATATCATCTCGTTTCTCATCTGGGTTCCATTGCTTGTAGGGAGCCGGTGGCGTGTTGGGGTGGCATGTATGTAGCTCTCTCTCTCTCTCTCTCTCTGAATCTCTAGTTGTCTCTATGTATCTATCTTTACCTTTATCCAACTATTTCTATCATTATCTATATACCCCACTACCCCCTCGTCCCCATCCCCCGTGGTCCCCTCATGTTTCCCCCCCCCTCATCCCCCCACCCTTCTGCCTACCCCCACTGCTTGCCCCCCTCCTCCTCAAAGCACAAAGCAACCTCCTCAAAGAGCCAAAGCTCAACCCCCGCAAGCACAACTAGGTGAATATCGGAACAACTGTACACTGTCAACTCTCAGATGACTTTTCTTTTTCTTTTCTTCTTTTCTATTTATTTATTAACAACCCCACGGAAATCACGCGCCATATTTCGTATATGCTTCAATGAAAATGGCATTGTGGTGGGGGGGTGGGGAGTGGGAGGTGTCTTTATAATTGGAAATATTTCTTAAAGCATTTAACTTAGGCCTATTCCGACGAGCTTATGTCCGTCCCATACCCCCTGACGGCCCCTTCCACGCCTGTCTGTGCATTTAGGTGAGGTTAGCCTCAGGCGTCGGGCCTCCAACTTCGGCGAGACAGACACGTTCCGTCATATATGTATATTACTGGAGTTCTCGGCACTGCCCGGGTCTCTCTGTCTCCCATCTATCTCCGTCTATCCATCTCTATCCATCTTCTTGCTGTTATCCCATTTTCGTCCCTCCTGTCCTCCCCTGTCCTCCCCCTCCTTCTCCCTCCTCCTGTCCTTCCCTCCTTCTCCCTCCTTCTCCCTCCTCCTGCTCTCCCCCTTCCTTCTACCTCCTCCTCCCCCTCCTCCCTCCTCCTTCTTCCCTCCTCCTGTCCTCCCTTTCCTTCTCCCTCCTACTCCCCCCCCTCCTCCTTCCTCCTGCCCCCCTCCTTTTTCCCTCCTCCTGTCCTCCCTCCCCTCCTTCTCCCTCCTCCTGTCCTCCCCTCCTTCTCCCTCCTCCTGTCCTCCCCTCCTTCTCCCTCCTCCTGCTCTCCCCTCCTTCTCCCTCCTCCTATCCTCCCCTCCTTCTCCCTCCTCCTGCTCTCCCCTCCTTCTCCCTCCTCCTGCTCTCCCCTCCTTCTCCCTCCTCCTGTCCTCCCATCTTTCTCCCTCCTCCTGTTCTCCCCCTCCTTCTCCTCAATCTCTTTCCACGTTCCTTTGCCTCATCTCCCACATACCCCATCCCTTTGGTCCTCCATTCCACCTCTTCCCTTTTATCTGAAATGTATGTGTCTCTTGTTTCCCCCTTTCCCCCGGGGGAAGTCTGACCCCTTCCCCGCTTCTCTCTCTCTCTCTCTCTTCTCTCTCTCCCTCTCTCTCTCTCTCTCTCCTCTCTCTCTCTCTCTCTCTCTCTCTCTCTCTCTCTCTCTCTCTCTCTCTCTCTCTCTCTTATTAAATTAATGTTCTCTCTTTATTGTGCAAGTTAATGTTCAAAAATTGTGACTCGTGTTCAACCCATTAAATGAATTGTGTAAATGAAAACGCACTTCTGCTCTGTGGTCTGCTTGGAGCTGTTGAGTCATTGAATAGCTACGGCTTTCAATGTCTTTTAGTAGCCATTTGGTCAAAGTACTGACTTGTCAAGGAGTTTAATTTCTCATGTCAGTCTAGGTTGGAACCTGTCACGAGGGGAGTCCTTTCGGATATATTATATATATATATATATATATATATATATATATATATATATATATATATATATATATATATATATACATATATATATATATATATATATATATATATATATATATATATATATATATATATATATATAAATGGAAATGTTCGTTTGTTCAAAATCGCTAATTTCCGAAAGTTCTTTACCGATTGCTTTGAAATTTTCACACAATGTTCCATTCGCATCCGAGCAGGTTTTTATATACATACTATATTGATGTTACGTCTGTGACGGTAAAAAAACATGCTTTTAAAAAAACTGTGTTTTTCGTGTGAAAGACATCTTTGAAACCTCTTTACCGATTGCTTTGAAATTCTGACACAACGTTCCATTCGAATATGCACGTGTTTTTTTTATACCTACTATATAGATGCCACACCTGTGACAGAAAAAAAAACTTTTTTTTTTTTAATCAGCGCCATCTGTTGCACATAATCGCAATACACATGCAATACTAAATATGTTACGAATTTCATTTCAATGTTCCAATTGCATTGATAAATTTAATTTTCATAGATTTCGATTTATTTTAATTTTTATTGAATTATTTTGTGTGATATTGTGTTGGAATTGAGCTGTGTTGTTTACCATACTGTTCATTTCATAAGTTTTAGTATAAATGCCACTCACCTGTGACAGGCAAAAATAAAAAAAGATTTAAGGGGCATATTACGGAAAAATACGATAAATGAAAAATGATTCGATTTCAATCAAACTTTTTTGACTAGTTGCATATAAAATTTCGTTAAACTGGTCCAACTCTCATTATTGTAGCAGAAATAGAAAGGGAGAAAAAAAATATTGAATTATGTGTCAAAAAATTTCCAAAATGGTCAAAAATTAGCATCAAACAAAAGTGTCAACTGAAATCATGTCTATGACCCTAAGCTATAACAATAGCATATAATAAAGTATTTTAATATTCAGTTTTATGCAAAAAAAAAAAATAGATTTTCTTTCTTAATTGATTTTTTCATAATTTTTATCAGCCGATTTGCATGAAAGTTATACACCTTGCAGAACGTTTGCCTATCTGTAAAGATACAAATTTTGGAGGAAATTGGTTAAAGTCAACTTCAACCACAGGTAGCAGAGTGTTTGATCTTATTTATTTTCAAGTAACAAAATTGCATCTCCTCTCTCATTTTTTTCAATTTACATGAAATTCACACCTTATATGTAGAGTTAACGTCTCTACAATAATGCTGAAACACTTTATTCCTAAGTTTATTTATTGATTTTATAACTCTTTGCAAACATGAAATATTGGCATTTATTTTGGGGGGAACTTTGACTACTTTTAATAGTAAAGCTAAACATATTTTGGATAATCCTTTTTAGCCAAATCTTTTATTATATGCTAATATCATATATGCGTGTCATAGAATGATGTCATTTGAAACTTGTGGTTGTAGCTAATTATTGAAAATGTGTAAAATTAGTTGGAAAAAAATCTCCCTATCTCCCTTTCTGTATAGGGTGCGATACTGAAACGTAGAACAGTTGCAGCCCTTCTTATATACAACTAGTAAAAAAGTTTGGTTGACATTAAACTACATTTAAAAAAGCGTAATACACCCCGTAAGAAACAGCGCCATCTGTTGCACGTAAGAGCCACAAAACTCTATACTAAATATGTTACGATTCCATTTCAGTGTCTACGATTGTATTGACAAATTAAATTTTGGGTCATTCCATGTGACTTCACCAAAGGCCTCCCACTCGACCCATTCTAATTCTAATGAAATTTTGTAATCTAGTAGCCCTAGACCACAAATGAAAATATGTAAAATATTAGAGCTCAATCTACTTTGGTTCTTAAATAACAGGTCCATATTGAATGGGCTCTCGTCCCGTTAATGCGTAAATACCACAAAAATTACCGACTTTGACCCTTTGTTAAATTACGACTAGTGCCCAGAGAGGTGTGAAATTTGGCATACCAGGGCAATATGGACCTATTATTTAAGAACCGAAGCAGATTGAGCTCTAATATTTTGCAAAGTGTCATTTGGGGTCGAGGGCTATCTTACTACAAAATTTCATGGCATTTGGACAGGGTCCAGTATGAGCCATAGGTGACTTCTTGGTGATTTGAGATGGAATGACCCTTTTCATACATTATGATCTATTTTCATTTTGATTTAATTATTTTGTGTGACATTGCGTTGGAATTGAGCTTTGTTGTTTACCATACCTTTCATTTTGTGAGTATAGTTTATTTTTTATTTTTTTATTTTTTTCACTTATTTTTTTAATTGTTTTTCTTATATTTCAGTGATGGGAACATCAGACCATTTGATGTTCCAAATTTTCTTATGGGAACATCAGATCATTTGGGTATGCATTCAATGAGGGAGTGAGGAATGGTGGGGAGGACGAGGGATGGGGGAGGGGGTAATGGTGGTGAGGACTGAGAGACATGGGGGAGGGTTGCTGAGCCACAGCAATGCATGGCCGGGTACAGCTAGTGTATATATATATATATATATATATATATATATATATATATATATATATATATATATATATATATATATATATATATATATATATATATATATACATGTTTATATATTGGTAGCAGTCTTTCCTGTAGACATATATTATTAAATATGACCGAAAAAGTAAGATTAATAATTCTAACACGAATTTTCTCAATATTTCTTATATTTCTTTTCATTGTTGATGGTAACTGAAAAATCAATTCTCCAAAATTCATTTTTATTTCTAGTCTGACGCGACACTTGAACGCGTTTCGTAATAACTTATTACATTTTCAAAGACTTTAGTTTACACACACACAACTATAACTAAACAGAGTTTAAACATCTTCGGTTTTATACCTGCATTTGGGTGAGGTGATATGTTACAACAGTTTTGGATGAGGTGAAAACAAACTTTCAACACAAGACAGAACACGAAACAATGGGTATAATATTTTGTAAGTTAAAGGGAAGAATGGAAGTAACTGCAAAGGGCCTATTGGCCCATATTTCTTGATGCTTCTATATTGGTGCGAAGTCTTGAAGTGGGTAGAATATAGTTGTGCATTAATGGGCTGAATTGTTTCGTGTTCTGTCTTGTGTTGAAAGTTTGTTTTCACCTCATCCAAAAACTGTTGTAACATATCACCTCACCCAAATGCAGGTATAAAATCGAAGATGTTTAAG